AATTCGAAGGCAATTCAAATGTTCGACTTTAATCGTATGAGGTGATTTAGTTCATGTCATCCTAAAGTGTGATGTGGATGATATTTGTCGGTTATTTTATCCACATCTTTTTGAAACATTCTGATTGTTTTTGGTTGTTCAGTGAACGTAACGATAGAGCTGGCTTGAACAAGTGGTTAAGTGGCGAAAAGGCGATGACCGATCTGGAATCTGCTACTTTATTAGCAGCTAGAGCACGTCAATATCTCACATCGTCAATAAGGTTCGCATAATCAGCAGTTACGTTTCAGAACGCAATTTTTTTCCAGTTAAGCAGATGAAATTTAGCAAATAAGTACCACAATTTCACAGTTTTTCTGGCTCTGGTCGATAAATTCTCTCAGAGTCAAGAGCAAAGGTCCTTTTCGCGATACTGTAATTTCCTTATTGGAATCGATAAACAAGATTAGCTTTACATTATCGCAAAAGACATAACATAGTGTGTTATTCATTAGCAGTTAAGAAGTTATCACAATTTATTAACTTTCACTCTTTAATCAGTTATTACTGCAATGTTATCGTTTATTGTAAGAGCCGTTCCAACGATAGGCGTGAAAACTTTTCCGACATTATGATCATTAACGTTATTCGATGAATTGATATCGTTCAGAAATCTTGGTGTCTTCTCAGAAACACAACTTTCTTTGTTGCTGAGCTCGTCGAGTGATACGTCGTATACTGTGCAAGATAACGATTCGAGTCAGTTCAATTCTCAAAGCATTCAACAGCCAACTGAATCGCCATCGGTTGAAAACGAGATGAATCGTTCGCAGCAAGAAATCAATCTGGATGAAAAGTGTCTTCTGGAATTGTCGAGTCGTGACTTGTTTGATGGGAGTTCGGTTGGTTTTTTGGGAGTTGTTAATGTTATTTTGTTTATTTGCGATATTAACAGTGATAATGGTGAGTTCTGATAACATGTTTTCCTCTTTCAGATATATGGTGAGGAATGTTTCGACGAGCGATCACTGTACGGGTCTAATGTTGAGAATACCACAACATCTGCAGTTTTAGACTGCGTTCGTGATGAGGATAACGGTAAAGATGGCTTGCCTTCAGGCAATAATGATGATAGTGACGAAATCCTCGATATCAAAATACGTGCGAGTCAGATTGAGAAACGACCAATCGAAACAGATGATAAGGCGACACTCGTTGAAGATGAAAAAATTTTGGATAAAATCACCAAAAAGATGAGTCGAACATCGATATCCTCCTACGTGAAACGTGAACCATTAACTGAATCAATGCTGAAAAATGAACAAATAATTGGATCGGTTCCGAAATGTTCTCCTACGTTATCAGCTAGTTCAAAAATTCTTCATACTGGGATGGTGTTTGCCGATAGCGGTAATTTAGCAGATGATAAACATCAAACTGAAAGGACAGAATCGAAAAAGTTTGCAGTGCCCAAACGAGCCACGAAATGCGTTGACGAGAACAAAAGTTCACCCATTATTGCAGAAAATGAGCAAAGCAAAATCACGAAAAATGCTCAAAGTGACATCGTTGAAACTAAAGATGATCTTAAACAGCGATTATCGGTACGAAAAAATTTAGAGGCGAACAATAGGGTCGCCTCCCAAGCAATCGAGAAGCATCGACCAAGCCCAGAACCCTCTAGATATCAATCCGGGTCCGAATTCGGCTGCTCATTAGATGACTCAGCTTTCAGTGCTCTAATATTCACAGCGGAACAATCAGCAATCCCGCCATCTCCTTCGTCCCTACCAACTCAGAAGATGGCCGCTCCATTGCAGTCACCGAAAAATGATTGTTCGCTTTCTGATTCCATATTCCTGGATATGCTCATTGAATCCGAAAACGAACCAAAAGGCGCCGCACTGCAGTCCCAGTCCCAATCCAAATCCCAGCCTCAACTTCCAGAACCTCAAAATAATCAGTTTGAATCTGTTCGCGATCTCACCGTACCTTTATTATCGGCAAACGGAAATGAGAAAGTTACCGAAAGTTCCACTTCAAGTGCAGCAATTTCAACTAGGAGCAGCAGCAGTGTCCATCCAGTGCTCAATAACTGCTCTGCAATATCAAATATCATCGTTGCAGCCGCAGAGCAAAACACCTCCCGTATTGATGCAATGAAAATTTCAAAAGGAGTTCCTTGCAATGGTGCAAAAATTAGTGATGTTAGTGATGGTGTCAGCAATGAGATTGAGGCCGAAAGTCATAAGGGTCAGGGATCTGATGTTGCAGAGGTATCGATACCGCGTCCGAGAGAAGTGCCAATCTATAATAACGAATGGCAAAAAGATTCATTCAACGAGAGTGATGACATATTTGAAACGAGTCAGCATTCACAATTTACATCTCAGCAAATTTCATCCAATCAGCCCTACGAAGCAAAGCACATCAAGCGCACGCGACAACAGTGTTACGTCAGTGATAGCCCAACTGCAGTTTCACCAAGCTGTCAAAGTCCAATGAATAAACTTATAAAGTTCTCATCACCTCTCTCAACTTCATCACCAATCAACAATACTAGTAGCAATATTCATAACAGTCATATAACCAGTAATAATACTGTTATTAATAATATTGACAATAATAGTGTTAATCAAGACGTCGAGCATGCAGTGCTTCAGTCCTCTCTCACTGAGCGCACAACTCCCAACAAATCTGTAGCAAAATTTTCCACTCCAACCAGACGTCCTGAAGCAGTAAGGCTGGAAGCAGGATTAGAAAATATGAAAGTATCGGAAGAAATAAATCGTGCATCGTTGAATTTTTCGATTGATGACGTTTGCCGGTATGTGATCGATTATTTTGTAATATTTTCCGTTTATGATAGCATTAATAATAATAATATCAGTAACAATAATAACAATGATGTTTACTCACAGTCAATAAACAGTTTTTATCGTAGAAATTTGACTGCTGAACAGAACTGAAATAATTTGTTTGCTTATTCGCTCATCAGTCAGCTGACTAAAACAATCGCTTGCATTCGTTTCCAATAAGGAGGCGACCATCGCTTGAAATTTATTGGATTCTTCATTGTGAAACGGTTTTGGTAGCAGTGCGCTGATTAATACGAGTAACATCGATATCAGTTGGTGATATTGGATGATATTGCGAGGAATATTCAAATGCATTTTCTTAATGAAGCAATTTTTGAAGGTCAAAATCACGGTGGTTGAAATTCGTTGAAGAAGTGTCGTCGTGGAATGGTGATGTTGGTGTTGGGATTTGTTTTTCAACAGGTGATCGTTCCTGCGACAGCAGATCCGATATCAGAGCTGTTGCATTGTGTCCGTCGCGTGGCAATCCTGCATTCATTCCATTCGAGGGCGTTTCTGTTTATGGTGAAGCTTTCTTTTAAAATGTTCTGAGATCACATCTGTGTTCTGAACATATATCTCGTTTCATTTCTGTAATATGGTGAGTGTGCGTTTCATTTGTTGTGACTAAAAATTCGTCAAAATCAGGTAATGCAAACGAAGAATCGCTCTATCCGAGTTTCACGCCATGTGATTCAGTCAGTATTGCCGACCGAATTGACCTATTCGAATCGGTTCTTGCCTCAGCAAATCAACGCAAAATTTTGGTCGATTTTCTACACTTCACTCGATCCCTCAAATCACCACCATTCTCAAAAGGTCTCATCCAGCAAAAACTATCAAATTGTGTTTGTATTCGAACGCTCTCATTCCTCGCATATTTCCGAAGCGCTGATGGCGAATCACCGCTCCACTATAAGGTATGCGCATTCTGTTTCAAAGTATTCCAATATTTCTTTTACTATTTCAAAACATTCCTTCAATTTCAACGTTTTTGTTATTCTTATTAACTGATTAATAAATTAATTTCTTATTTTTCAAAGACCTGTTGACGGTCGCATTAATCGTTTTATAACGTCAGGATCTAGTCGCGAGATTGATTCCGTCTGCAATTGCCCTGAACATTATGAAGAGGATTAATGTTGTATCAAGTGAACGGATTCGTATATCAACGTACGCCTTACTGAACGTTCGGCTTTTCGAAAGTCTTTATCCGTTATCAGTTCGTTTATCATCACAACGATTTATCACTCTCGAAATGGATTCGTTGCTATTGCTGGCGAGACTTGAAGCAGTTGGAATCGGTTTCGATGCTCAGACAGCTGAAAATATGATTCGGAAGGTTTGTTTTGCAGTCATTTATTTCTTGCTTTTGTGAATCGTCGTTTTTCATTATCCGCTGTCAATGTTGCTGTTGTGTTGTTCATTCTTTTATATTCATCAATTGATTTATTCACGTTCGACTTCAATTATTTGTTCGTTTATCGAGAAATTCCAACAACTCGTCATGACTATATACCTTTATGCTATCATTCTTTCCCACTTTCTTCGTTTATCTCATTTTTGCTCCATCGTCTGCGAGTTGTTTCGAAAAATGTTCCGTGAAGTGACACTTTCAGTAATTTCCCACTTCAGTCATTCTCATATTTACTCGTGTATTTCCACAAACGGCTTTCATCGTGCAAAACTGTCGCTTCCTTAACACCGATAACTGCAAACGAATCTGATTGTTTGTCCTCAGTAATTGATCGATTGTAATGACTAATAGTGCAGTGAATATTACGGTATTTTATTAATTTTATTACTATGTTGCTTTTCGTGCGATCATAAAGGCAATCATGCCCATCAACTGCAATGAAGTTTTCGGTGTTCAATCAAAAATTATAGAACTTTAAACTTAGGTGAAAGATGAAATGTCGCAGTTAGAAGCAGAGGGAAGACGTTTGGCTGGAGTGGCATTCAATTTTGATTCGCCGTCAGAGATTGCAAACGTTTGTTGACTCTTTCTGTTTCGTTTAAAATTCATTCGTTGTTATTATCATTTTATTTGATACTTTTCTGCTTTAGTTAACATTATTGAGCATCATCACTATTTAAGGTGCTCTTCGTCCGAATGCGTATTCCTCCTCTGATCGCTTCCTCGTCGTCAACAAAAAACGATCTAAATACGAATACAAGAACGAATACAAGTCGTTCTTCTCATTATTCAACGAATAAGACCGTCTTAAAACAACTCTCGAAGCAGTATCCTATTTGTGGTGTAATTTTAAAATGGCGCAGACTGAACACGGCTCTTTTGGTTTGTCATTTTAATGATGCTAACAGTAATGATTTATTCTACATTAGTAACTAGTTGAAATTGCAACAGCGATATTGACGATAATTGTATTTGTTGTCATTCGACAGTATTTGCACATGTTATCACATTTATTACCACCCAATTTTTAATTGTATTCATCGCTTCAACATTTTGCTCTAACTATCAATTTAGAGTCATTTCTCGTTATTTAATCATTCTGAAGTAATTTACTGAGCGACTTGTAACCTCCTCAAAACATTGTGAACCTGAAGAATAATTTGCAGACATCTCTGCAAAATTTACTGCACGAATATGAATCGCATATTGGTAGTGAATCCACCGGCAATAATAAGTTAACGAACCGAATTCATACCAACTTTACGATCTTCTCGCAAACCGGTCGTGTGCAGTCCGTTCGTCCGAACATACAAAACGTGCAGAAAGATGAAATTGTAGACTCACTGTCAGTCAGATCGCTTTTTATCGCACCACCCGGTAAGATTATTTGCTTGTATTGATATTTCATCGCATAGTCACCTACTGGAACCATTATCTTTGATGCTGTTTCAATATTGTAGTATTGTTACGTGATTTGTAGTAGTTATCCTATGAAGGTCTTCTTGAAGGCCCGTGTCTTGGCAAATTTCTTATGATATTATTGTCTTATACACTTATGATCACTCAGTGATTTTGTTGCATGAACGAGACCGCTATATTATGGAATTAGTTGTGATACAGTTAGTGAATAAATTTGTTGACTGTGCGGATCTTCACATGATGGTTTAGTAGTGAATTATTTTAGGTTACAAATTGATATCAGCTGATTATTCGCAATTAGAGCTGAGAGTGCTTGCTGCGCTGTCGAAAGATGACACTCTCATGGAACTTTTCAAATCTGGTAGTGATGTGTTTCAAATGATGACAGATCGATGGAATGGAAACAAATTGATTGGAGTCAGTGTTGACCGGCAAAAAGTCAAGCAGGTGAGTTCTTAGTAATCAACA